TATATTAATAATCTTTTGTCAAAGGACTTTTATAGCTCCACTGACAATTAATCAGACTATATGATATATCGATTAGAAATAGCTTTTTCTACTTTTTGTGAGATTACCTCTCTTTTGTCAATTAACTGTTGAGGAAGTTAGGGTTTTAATGGAAATTTTTAAATTTACATGTTTCCCTACATGAATCTTACATGCCCTAGCATACACTCTTAGCTTCAAGCATGACTCTGTTTTGTGTCCCCTAACCTTGACTCTTTAGTGAAACTTTTGTGTTACGTGAACCTGTAGACTAGGTTTTAATTTTTAAAATTACTTTTACTTGCTGGGAGCAAGCACATTTGTGCCACGGCATTCCAGCAGATGTTAGAGAACAAATTGTGGGGGTTGGTGGGTTCCTGGACTCGAACTCAAGTAGTCAGACTGGGCAGAAAGAACCTTTCTCCACTAGGCCATCTGTGCCACCTGGCCTTGGGTTCTCTTGTTAGCCACTTTAAATCCCTTTGTTAAAAATCAACACTGCCCAAAAAGGTGAAGTAGCCATCTCAATGGATTCTTTATATTATGAGAGGATGTTGATCCTGAAGAATGGGTCTAAAAACTAACCCAAGTCATTAGTGAGGAAAAGAAATTATGTTGTACTTAAGCATTGAATATTTGATAGAGAAGTTTTATTAGTGGTGGTTAGGTATAATAGTTGCATTATGGTTATGTCTTTAAAAGGTATTTTGTGTACCATATGGGTGCCTGTGGAGATCAAGAGTCATTGGATTCCCTGGAACTGGAGTTAAGGATGCTTGTGAAACAAGCTATGTAACCAAGTCTTGGCTCTCTAGAAGCAAATGATACTCTAACTTCTGAGTCATCTATCTCTCTGGCCATTTTTTGTTGCTGTTGTTGTTATGTTTGCTTTTCTTTCAAGAAGCTATCTTTTAGAGCTAAATGCTGACTGAAATGTAGCTGGGTGGTAGACCATGTGTATGGCATGTGTAACCTCTGGTTTGATCCTAGCACTGGGGGAAAGATTGCAATTTAGCCTAAATATTTACAGCTCAGTCTGTACTGGCTGAGTAGGACATCAGATGGATGTCGAGAGAATTCTAACCCTAACCCTAACCCTAACCCTAACCCTAACCTTAACCCTTACTCTCCTCTTCTTTGGGACTGAAGCCAATAATCAGCTATGGTGGACAGGAGCCCATGCCGGTTATTGAACCTAGAGCCTTGCACATGCTAGACCAATCATTGAACTATACAGTCACTCCTAAGCAGGCCAGGAGACTGATGCGGGTAGTTCAGATTCCGCTTAGGCAGTGTTGGTGGTACTTTCCAGACTGAAGGCTTGGTGTATCCTGAGGCTGAATGATTTTCTTAGGAGTCCATCTATCTCTTGTTCCTATGTGACTTCTGCTGGCAGACAGAGGACAGTGTGCATAAGTGTGTTTGACAGATCAAGTACTCCAGAGAAATCCACCGATACTGTAGTGGGTTGGCCTAATGCTGCTTGTATTCTAACGCATGGGGGTCCCCCAAGACACTGAGTGACCCTGCCCTCAGTTAATTGTGATTGACAAGCAAAGATGCCAACAGCTAATAGCTGTGCAGAAGAGACATAGGTGGGGTTGAGTTTTCAAAGGCTTCAGGAGAAAGGACCACAAGGAGAGGAAGGAGGAGGAAGAAGCTGCCATGGGATAAGGGTCAAGAGACAGTGAGATAATCCAATCACAAAAGAACACACATGGTATTCAGGCACTGATGATTGGATATTAGCCCAGAAGCTTGAAATACCCAAGATTCAACTCACAGACCACATGAAGCTCATGAAGAAGGAAGACCAAGTGTGGGTGCTTTGGTCCTTCTTAGAAGGAGTAACAAAATACTCAAGGGAGCAAATATGGAGACCAAGTGTGGGACAGAAACTGAAGGAGGGGCCATCTGAAGACCTTTCCACCTGAGTATCCATCCCATGTGCAGTCACCAAAGGTAGATGCTGATGTGGAAGTCAGGAAGTGCATGCTGACAGGAGCCCGATATAGCTGTCTCCTTAGAGGTCTGCCAGAGTCTGACATTTAGAGGCAGATGCTCACAGTTAACCATTGAACTGATCAAAGTGTTCCCAATGGAGGAGTGAGAGAGAAGACTAAAAGAGCTGAAAGAGTTTGCAGCCCCATGAGGAGAGCAACAATACCAACCAACCAGAGCTCCCAGGCTCTAAACCACCAGCCTGGGAGCACATAGGGAGGGACCCATGACTCCAGCTGTATATGTAGGGGAGGATGGCCTTGTCGGCATAGGTGGGAAAGGAGATCCTTGGTCCCATGAAGGCTGGACGCCCAGTGGGGGGGGGAATTTGAGGGTGGGGAGGTGGGAGTGGGGGGTAGGTAGGGGCACATCCTCATAGAAGCAGGAGGAGGGGTGATTGGGATAGGGAGTTCCTGGGCGGGGGGTGGGGGGAGGAATGGGGTAAGGGGATAACATCTGAAATGTAAATAAAATATCCAATAAAAAAATTTTAAAGAGAGAGAGAGAGACAGAGACAGTGGCCCTAAGGGCTGCCCAATTGGAGCTAAGAGCCGCCCAGATAAAACATAGTAAATAATAAGTAATAACTTGGGGTTATTGAAAGGAACGTAGATTCTTTCCTAATGAAGGGTAGGCAGCTGCCCAGCTACTGTGCTGGCATTTTGTAAGGCATATTAAAAATATAAAAGCTGTGTGTTTTTTTTAAATCCAGGAACTCAATTACCAAAGACGGGGTAAAAAATCCTAGGCCAGGATTTTTAATATTTACTACTATAACTTACCTCAAATGGGTGTTTAAAAAATTTCTATTGGTTTAGAATTTCTCAAAAAGGTGTGTGTGTGTGTGTGTGTGTGTGTGTGTGTGTACGTGCTCGAACGTAGGCGTATTTGTGCGAGGTGGGTGTGCACATGAAAGCCAGAGAATAACTGCTATTCCTCTTTTTTTTTTCTTTTGAAACGCAATCACTGGCTTGGAGGTTCATCAAGTAGGCCAGGGTGACCAGCTAGTAAGTCCCAGGACCTCCCTCCCCAGCCCGGGATGTCATGAGCCCATCATGACATTTATGTGGCTTCTTGTGATTGCAAAGCAAGCACTTTAACAACTCACCTAGAACTCAGATGTACATGGTATGTGTACATGTGTGTACTGCTGGGTATATACATCCATCGGGGGCACACAGGTCAATGTCGTCTCTTCCTCACTTTCTATTTTTACAGTTTTAGATTTTTGGTATGTGCGTGCACACATATGCCATAGCACACGTGTGGAAATCAGATGCCTTGCAGGAGTCATTGTCTCTCCCACCACATGAATCCAGGGATCAAACTCTGATCGGCAGGCTTGACAGCAAATGCTTTGACCTGCTCAGCTGCCTTGCCAGTTCCATGCACCTTATTTTTAGAGACTGGACCAGCTGAGTGGGGTTAGAGCAGCTTGCTACCAAGCCCCAGGGATTCTCCTCCTGTCTCCACCTCCCCAGCACAGAGATTCCAGGTACATGGTGCCATGTCTGGCTTTTCACACAAGTCCTCATGCTTAAATGGATGGCACCTTAGCAAATAAGCCATCTCCAAGCCTATGATGATTTAAATGAACATCTATTAATAACCTTATAGAACGTGGACTCACAATATCAATAGAATTGAAATGCATGATCACAATCAGGACTTTGTGCCTACATCTACACAAGCAACATGCTCCAAGGCCTCTCTACTGCAAGCGAAGAAGAGAGGCACACAATGGAGGATCTGAACACCTGTCTCTTTATGTCATCATATACCAGGTATATGATCTTGAGTAGGCTAATTAATTTCAGCCTGTTTCTACATCTGAGGGTGGGAATGCCAGCTGTCGAACCTGTAGTCACTGGGCTAGCATGAGGATTTAAGGCAGCACGTAAAGCAAGCTAAGTCTGCAAACTATATACTCAAGGATTAGCCCAGAGGGTTCACAGCCATGCCCCAGTGTCCTGACACGTGCTTGACAGCAACAGTCCAGAGCACTAACACAGCAGATAGCCTTGTCATGAGAGGAGCCCTGAGCACTCATCAACATCTGCAGGGTACATTCCTGATCTGCATCTGTCAGCAGTCTCCCCACAGACAACGCCCTACTTCACATAGATTTCTGGGCTAGCAAGCCAGGAAGAGGAAGCCATGGTTTCTCTCTTCCTTTTGTTCTGTTTTTATGAATGGGGCTTGCAAAGCCAGGATTCCATGGCCATACCAATCCTGATTAGCAGGATATAAGCAGTTACATTGCCTGACACTGGACCAGGAATCTGGGATAATTATCAGTGTCCTTTCTTGCCCCTACTCTGGAATATAGGATTGCTAAATCATTGACAATACACCCATCTGATGAAACTGGGGCCAGTGGGGCCACTAGAGTGAATGTGAACCCAGGAATGTACACCCAGGACTCCTCTGGCAGACAGCCAGGTCCTCACTGAAGAAGCTTAGGCTTTTTCTTTGAAAGGGGCACATAAAGGCCTGCTGTGCTGGCAAGCTTCCTCACTCGTACAGTAATTCACTGTGCCAAGGATGGTTTGACCCCAGTACCAGCTCAAAGTCATTTAACCTTGTGTTTTGTGTTTTAGACAGGGTCTCCCTGAATAGATCAGGCTGGCCTCAAACTCGGACCTTCTTGTCTTTGCCTAAGTGCTGGGATCGGAGGCGTGGGCCACCACACTTTGCTTTCTCCTAAATTTTTGGTTAGACAGGTTTCTCTGTGTAGCTCTGGCTGTCCTGCAACTCACTCTGTAGACCAGGCTGTCCTTGAACTCAGAGTTCCTCCTGCCCCTCTGCCCCTCTGCCCCTCTGCCCCTCTGCCCCTCTGCCCCTCTGCCCCTCTGCCTCCAGAGTGCTGAGATTAAAGGCGTGTGCCACCACCCAGCTTCTTAAGTGAATACATTGCCCCTTTACAATTTGGATCATGTACTTCCCAAAACTGTTTTTAAAACAAAAAAGAATCACACAAATACTTATATGGTACATTTATTTATGACACACCCTTAGAGATAAAGGTTGCCAGAAAGAAGAACAAAATCCAGGCAAACAAAAAGTTGTCTATACTTATTTAATACTATGAACACAGATATTCAAGAGAAAGTCAGTTAAGAAACAATGGTGTTTAACTTTTAAATATGATTCTGATTTTAAAAACAGTGGTAACTCAAAGCATTAAGACAGAGAACATACACATACACAACAATATTTATCTCTCAAACCAACCTTAAAAACCTATGTAGTGATAGAATATTAAAATTGTGCAAACGAGGAAAAAGTACCTATAGTGTTTAAACCAATAGATGGTTTCCACAGAACAAAAATTAAGAATATCAAACAATGCTGCAGAATCAAAGGCGAAGGTGGCCCAGTGTCAGGTGAAAGAGGGTAGCTGGGGGCATGCATGTGAGGCTCTCTCGGCCTCAGGACAGAGGGCTGGCTGAACCCAGCAGTCACTGATAGGGAGGATAAAGTGCTATGTCCCTCACAGAAACCAGGTTTGTAGAAGCTCTGGTAAAGCTTCCAGGACTGTAGCTGAGGTAGTGCTCTGTGAAGAGCGTTCTCCTTGAGAGCACAGTGAGCATCTGGGTGAGCCGAGACCTGATGCCAGTGAAGTGGACCTGCCGTTCTTTACTCAGGTTTCTGAACGAGTCTCTCAGGCACAGATCCAGATGGGGGGTGCCCAGACCCAGGTACTTGGGGTATCCGGGAGTGTGGAGATCAGCGCCTGTCAGAGAAACATGGGAGCTGACCGAGCTTGCCAGTGAGCCCTGGGAAGACACAGAAGAGGATGACCTCAAACTGGAAGACCTCGACACCGACATCTTGGATGCTGGTGACCCTTCTTTAGACGGGGAACCCTCAGGAAGGAGGCTCTCCTCGTCTTCAGTCTGCGTGGCCGTGGACTGGGACCACACTGTGGCCTGGGAGCTCGCTGCCCTGGTGACAACTGTGGTCTGGGTCCCAACACACATCATGTTGGAACTAGTCTGTGTTCCCACCTCACTGAGGCTTACTGCAGCCATCTCTTCTCCTGGCTCTGTCTGGGTAGCAGCATCAGCTGCCTTGCTATCCTCTAGCTGGTCCTTGTGGCTGTAGAAATAGTCTTCATCGCTGATGGTGGAAGTCTCAGAGTCATGGCGCTTGGTTTTGGCTCTGTCTTTTGGCGGCACCTCTGGGCCCAGGTTGGTCTTCTTGGGAGTACTTGAGAGTCTGGCCAGCCTGATACGCAGCAGATTGCCTAGCGTGCGCTCTTTCGACTGTGGCTTTAGGTCAGCCAGATGGTCAAACTTGCCACTGATCCGGAAGTTGGACAGGAGTTTGGAACTGATGGGCTCTGACTGGGCGTACAGGATCCGGAACTCCAGATCAAAGTGTTCAACCACTTGGCCAGACAGAATTACCAAGTTGCTGCTGTTTAATTTGCCGTCGGTCCAAGTAAAACTGAAGGATTAAAATCACACAAACTGGTAAAGATAAGTGTTCTCAGTTTCCCTGCTCTCAGTAGCTGCCATGTAAGAGTGATAACTTTGGTGCTAACATGAAATAACAAATACATACTTCAAAACCCAACACACACACAAACCCAATCCTCAGGCTCAGCTTTAAATCCCAGCAAGAAGGTATAAACTATTTAGGCCAGCAGCCTCGATTTAAACCTTAGAGAATCAGCCAGAGTGCCCTATGGGAAGCTAGTGGCTCCTCTTCCAGTGTCTCTAGTGGGATGGTTACTCCACCAAGGATGCCAGTGCTCAGCACACTGTACAGCTGATTCACTAGCCTGTGTCCTTGTATCTCCAGCATCCCTTCCTCTTCCTCTGGAAACAGAACCTACACCTGTCTCTACCTGAAAGGGCGTTCACGAACACATCCTCTCTAGTCTCAGTGGGTGGCCATAGGGTCCAGGATAGCCATGTCTGATCCCTGGGATTCATCCAGTATGCACATGTGACTCTACCAGGGCCAAGTGAGTTTTCAGAGATGTGTTCCTGCTTCAGCTGCTAAAGGTTGGGAAGTAAACAAGGGTCTTTGCCTTCAAAGGAAGAGGCTAGGACAATAAAGACCAGGGCAAAGTAGGAGACAGTGTTCTGATAAACCCCACCCACCACCCCAGGCCCAGGGAGCTATAGTCAGACGCTCCTTCCCTTCCCAGCATTCTCTGGGACCTGTGGCCTCACTCTGTCTTGAGTGAGCTTTGGACTGGAAGCAGGTAGTTTTAATGGGAGACCCTGAAACTCATTTTAAACTATTTCTTGCAACCATGACTTTGGGTGGTGAGTGGTGCATACCTTTAATCTCAGCATTTGGGAGGCAGAGGCAGGTAGATCTCTGTGAATTTGAGGCCAGCCTGGTCTACAGATCGAGTTCCAGGACAGCCAGGGCTACACAGAGAAACTCTGTGTAGAGAAAAATACAAACAAACAGGAACCATGACTAATACACATGCTGCCCAAGAACTGCTTTGGAGCTTATGAGTCTTTGGACTACCCACAAGGGGGTAACAGAAACAAAGGGGCTACCTGACCCTGAGGCTGCAGTGTGTCTCCAAACAGAATATCATTGTCATTGGTGGTACAACAACGCTTTTGTAGAGGGCAGGTTTTATACTTAGAGATTTTTAAATAGACAAAAACCACTCAGAGCCAAGTTTCATCAATATAGATAAATACTAAGTCCCCTTAGAACTTACAAGTGCCAATAGAAGGAAGTCTCAAGAACAGGTGTTCGGCTCTGAACAGTGGTGCTACTGGTTGAAAAGGAAGGTACCTACAGCTGCTTATCACAGTACCTCACCTGCCACAGAACCCACAGCTGGCACAGAACCAAGAGATGCACACGCTACAGCAACAAGGCTTTCTTTGCAAACTCTGTACCTCACACGTACCACTGGACAATGTAATAGAGAGACAGCCAAGCACACAGCTTAACATGGCATGAGTAAGAATGGTGTAACTTCCAGGGATTAACATCTCCTACTGTGACCTCACTCATCTTCTATACAAAGATATTCTCTCTATACAAAGATGCTATTGGCAAGGTGGACTTCCGAGGTGAGCCTGGAACATGTCCACTGCTTTCTAGACTAAAGTACTTATTACAAGAATTGCAGTGACCTATTAGATAAGGATAAATGAGCAGCTTCAGTCTGCTAGAACATTTGCAATGTCCTTACCTTCAAGTAAGCAGAGTAGGTGGGGTCCAACTCTCCCAGGGAAGCAGGATTTGAGGCCAATTAGCCTCTAGTTTTTCCCCAAAGGCCTAAGCCTAGACGTGAATGCAAGACTCTGACTATGGGGGTCTCAAGCTTAGTTTAACTTGTGATTTAGTTTTGTGGACCACAGGGAAAAGAAAGTGACTCTTGCCCTGTCTACATCCAACAGAAGAGGGCTTTTATGAACCAATTCGCACACTCCTGGAGGACTGTCACAGGGCTCTGATTGGCAGGAGCAAGCATTGATTCCTCTAAAGGGTTTGGACTAATTGATGAGGCACCTAGTCAGAACATACCTGTAAGAGCCTGTTGCCACCCGAATTCCATCAATCAGTGTGAACTTTTCATGAACCTTCCCAACAACCTTTGTTCCTGACCTTGCATAGTAGATATTTCCTGTAATGGTCCGCACCGTCATCAGCTGTTGGGGAAGGCGTGGTAAAAAAATAAATAAATAAAAGGTCAATGGCCAACTCAGTGATGCTATCCCGTGGGCTGGGCTTACTGTTACCAAACAGAAGCATTTGTAGTGGCTTAGGACAGTCATCATATAGTAACAGCACACATGATACACTAGCCAGATACTGCTCAAGTAATGTAACTTCTGCGTCTAGTCCATCTTTTCATAGGAAGAGAAGAGGCCTTACTAGGCCTCGATACCTTATAGTCCAGGCTGGCCTTGGATTTGCAATTCTCTAGACCCAGCCTCCTACATGCTAGGATTACAGTCTGCACCACTACATTTGGCTTGTATTTAGAGACCCTTAAGCTCATGTGAGAATGTACTATATATTATAAAGAAATATTTGCTTGTTGGAGGAAATTAATGGAATCCAAGAAATGACTTTGAAGCCGGGCGGTGGTGGCGCACGCCTTTAATCCCAGCACTCGGGAGGCAGAGGCAGGCGGATTTCTGAGTTCGAGGCCAGCCTGGTCTACAGACTGAGTTCCAGGACAGCCAGGGCTACACAGAGAAACCCTGTCTCAAAAGAACAAAAACAAAAACAAACAAACAAACAAAAAAACCAAAAACAAAAAGAAATGACTTTGAAATCAAACATGGGAGATATAACAGTCAAAGAAAGTATGTTAGTAATGAATAACACTTGGCAAGGGCTGAAAACCCAAGCTGGCACTGCTCTAATTTCTTTGTACCACATCAGTAAGGAATACTAACTTCCTTCACCCCATATTGGCAGGGTTTTGAAGCGGTAATGAGAAGGTAGGCCTCTAACACAGCATGTGGGAATTAAGCAGCCAGTTTACATCTTCTACAGGTACACAGTGACCAAAGAGGTACGCTGTATACACACACGGACGCACAATTGTCCCCAGGGTGACACACACAAATGCGTACATAGTGACTTCTTTTTAAACCTTTTAAAAATTATTTTTAAAAAATTTAAATTATGAGTATCTGCATGTGGGTATGTGCATGTAAGTGTGTCAGACACCTGGAGCTAAAATTATACGTGTTTGTGAGCCACCAAACACGCATTAGAGACAAAACTCAGATATCCACCTCTAAAACCCTTTATAAACCTTAATTTCAAGGTAAAGATTGTCTTTAAAAAAAAATAAAAACCTGGAGTATTCCACAGACGAGCATATGGAGTTGGCTGGATGGAGAAGGTAATGACTCCTAAACAGATCAACACACAATAACCATAGAAACACTATACCTATAGGGTTAGCGATGGCTCGGTGTCCTTCCCTTTAACACACATCTGAACATTATGGAGGCCTGTAATTGTGGACACAGCACTTCTGTACACCTGCCTGTGAATACGCAGCCATATTCTTGCAGACAAGGTAACTCAATATTCTGAACCAATCAGGGCACAGGGCAGGGGATGCCTCTGAGAAAAGCACAGGCCCACAACACACGAAGCTAGTGGCTACCTAGGAAGGAGATAACCCACTATAAAGACAAACTGTCTTTAGACTTCCTGCAGAGGCCCTGGACCACCATGAAGGCAGCAGTCAGCAGAGTCAGCAGTCTCTGCCTTGTTGACGGAGCAGAGGGAATGGCTATGCAGAGCTAGAACAGTTCTGTCGGGGGGGTTTTCTGGTGCTGAGACTCAGCCAAATTACCCAAGAGCACCTTGAAATTATACCCCGACACCTTCTGCGCTTCCACAAGAGCAGCCTTGGCCTAGATACCTGGTGGGTGGCAGTGCTCTCTACTATGCCCAAGTGGCATTTTCCTTGAGTCTTCCTAGCTCACTGACTGCTAGATCACATGGCCGCTTCAATTCAGTCTGGAAGGTCCAATCCTACCTCTATCATGAATTTGCTATGTGGCACAAATGACAAGGTGGTAAATCATCTAATTCAGCCCAATCCTTGGTTTGCTCATTAGAAAAAAACAAAAACAAAAACCAGCCAGCAGACACTCTGAAGGAGAGGCCAATGAGATAAAATGCTGTAAACCACGCTGCCTGTTTACAAGGTACTATGCAATCAGAGCCTCATGCAGAGGCCTGGAGTGGCAAGAAGCCTGGCAGCTGCTGATCGTGCCATTCCTCATGCCAAGTGCCAGGCAGCATGAGGGGAAGGCAGGTTCTCGCTTCATAAGTTGTTCTATTCTTTAAACATGAAGTCTGTAACAAATGTCTGTCTTACCTCATTCTCAAAGACACTAAGCCAACTCTGTGGCCTTATACCAAGATACTTGAATTACTTTCATGCCCAGAGGAAGACATAAAGTCTGGTTCTGTCCTGAGGAGGAGGCAGCAGTAGGTGATGGCGACTGCACACGGGATAGCGACTGAGAGGAGGACAGACTGAGTCAAAGCGGGGCGTGTTGTAGCTGTGGACTCCTGGGCTCCCGACATCATTGTTTCCAGACCCAACGCATCAGGACCGCTATGACAGGGCCGCCATGAGAGTTAGCGATGTCACATTTGTCAGAGCAGTAGGCAGTCCCAGGGACAGAACAAGAGCTCCAAAATGGCCACTGTAGCAAAAAGTGGAGCCCCCTGGAGCCACCAACCGTTGGCTTGGCTATGGGCAGGTCTGTACTCACTGCTGAGAAACCTGACAGCCATTATGCCTTTTCTTATCGATGGCTTAATGGAGATGTAAATCATACACCACATAATTCACCTGCTCAATGTGCACATCTGTACTATTTATGAATGTACAGAACCATTTGCACAATTATAGAACCTTCTCATTACCTCAAAAACAACCAACCAAACAAAGAGCCTGAACCTCTTAGTCACAAACCTATCCATCCCTCTATCACATGTCCACAAACCCGATACTAATTTACCTTCTGTCACTACAGACGCCCCTGTCACCTGGGCTTGCACATACATGGGATCACAGTGCATGTGATCATTTGTATATGGCTTCCTGCACTTATTACAGTGTTTTCAGGGTAGCCCATGTGGTAGCATGTGTCAGTACTTCAGTCCCTTTGAAGGGTGAATAATATTCTATTGTTCTGAACAGACAGTGCATTGTCTATCCACTTATTAGCTGATGAAACTTCCAGCACCTATAAACCAGCATATGCTTTCATTTCTCTGGGACGTCACTTAGGAATGGAACTGCAAGGTCATGGGTGGTGGCCATTTTCTGTGAGACTTCAGTTTCCTCACTTGTTAGTGGGGAACCCATCACCACCAGCACCAACACCAGCATCACCACCAGCTCCAGCACCGGCACTAGCACCAGCACATTGTAGATCATGGGTGCTCTCCCACGTTACCAACAGTGGGGAGACAGAAATGGTGTCCCACAAACCTTTTCCTGCTCAGGATGAACTTTCAGATCCATGCACATGTCCAAAAAGTGGGAGAGCAGAGCCTGGTCCAGAAGGATGTACACAGCCACCCCCCGCGTCCTACAGATCTCCTGCAGGTCTCGGAAGATGTCCATGTCTGAGAAAACGTCCATTACCACAGCAATCACCTAGGAGATGAGGCAGAAGGAAAAGTAAGGAATTCTAAATCCCATTTTCAAAGACACTCTCTTCTTCAGGAGTATGCCCCCACCATTAGTTCTTTTCCACCTCCAAAAACACCTAGGCACCCATGTCTGACAAGTCCTGGCTTGGCCCAGCTAACACCCGCCACTGTCTTCCAACCAACCTATCACGCACTGGCAAGCTTCTCATTGAACTTCCGTGCCACCACTAAACCCTATCTTCCAGGTTCAGTTTGGACTAGCAAGCTGTCTGGGTTCTTGGACCAACACACTGGAACCTCAGTCACACTGCTTTTCTAGTCTGGCTTCAGTTTCCTGTCTATAAAGTTGACAAAATCTTGGGGCTGGCAATACGGTTCAGTTAGTAAATGAACTTGCTACCAACCAGATAACCTGTGTTTAATCCCCAGAACTCACATGGTGGAAGGAGAAACCAACTCCTGCAAGCTGTCCCTCTGACCTCCACATGTATGTCATAGCACATGTGTACTACACACAAATAAATACATGTAAAGAGACCCCCTCAGATTCTCTCTGAAGCCCTCTTTGGCTATTAATATTCAAGTCCACGGTTTTTGACTATTATCCGATTCTGGCTTATGGTCTCTGAGTATTTCACCCTGTTTTAGAAAGACTCCATCCATTACCAATTCAGTGCTTGAAATGATGAGACTCTCAGCGCCCCACCCATCCTCTGTTCCCAACACCACGCATTTGCCACCATTCAGGACTAGAACATGGAACTACTACCTCAAGGTTATGCCCTTCAGCTCTGCTCTGTTCTTTCTTCTCCCCAGCAATGTGTGCCCCTGATACAAACTGATTTTCTACACCCAGCCCAGACCACAGCTAAAAGCCAGTGTTCACCCATGTGTGCATGGGGAATGTATCACTGTTTTGAATATCTGCTTCCTAAGATACAAAACCGGACTGCAGTCAAACCTAAACAACTGCACAGCTGCAGGGTCTAAGAGATCATTAGTGTCTGTTCAAACACCCTGTCACCTGTGTGGGGCTGCTGCCACCCAGACAGCCCCTCACAATGGAGATGCTGACAGTCCCCAGCTTCCTTCACTTACAGAAGCCATTACAGCTGGCAGCAGAGCCTCATCGCCTGCTTCAAGGGCCCTCAGAAATTCCAGGCAGGGAGGCAGGGCTGTAAAAACACCCGGGCTTAGAACAAGTCCCTGCAGATCGAGTCAGGAAGCCAGCATTTGGGAGCTGTTTTGCAATTGGGAGTGGTCAGGGCTTCTCCATCTCCCAACTTTAACAGTAAAAATCCCTTGTCTCTGAATCACATTAACCCCTTTGCTGAGAATTACAGCTGCTTCTCAGTCTTGACACCTTTCCTTCTACACAGCAGAGCCCTCCAATGGAAGGACTGGTCTCCATGGTGGAGACCACGAGACAGTAACCGACAGGCTTGTACCTCTTAAGCATCTGTCTGGTTAAAAAGAAATCCTGAAGCCAGCTATGGGGCCCCTAGAATATAATCCCAGCCTTCAAAAGGCTGAGGTCAGCCTCTAGAGAGCAAAAGTCTATCTCAAGAAAAACAAAGGAAGGCCGGGTGGTGGTGGCTCACGCCTTTAATCCCAGCACTTGGGAGACAGAGGCAGGCGGATTTCTGAGTTCGAGAGTTCGAGGCTAGCCTGGTCTACAGAGTGAGTTCCAGGACAGCCAGGGCTACACAGAGAAACCCTGTCTCAAAAAACCAAAAAAAAAAAAAAGAAAAAAAGAAAAACAAAGGAAAGTAAGAGAGAAAGAAATGCAGAGGCAAATGGGCAATGCTGCTACCTTTCTAATACCCCAGGGTTCCATTTGCTCACATGAGCGACCTTGAAGGCCAGCTCCCAGAAGCCAGTGGCCCCTGGGATCATAAAGCGGTCTCTCTGGCTCCCTCCACGACACACCCTGCCTGACCTTCATAAAATCCCCTGAACAGTGAGTAAAACAAAACAAAACACATTTTAGAGTTTGTGGCATCGTCAGAAGCTTATAGGCCCTGCTGGCTTTCACGAGTTGCTTTGAGAGTTATGTGTACCCCGTTCACTTGGGGCCTGTAACAGGGTTTAAAGGCAAAAGCCAGGACAGGAGCTCAGCACGGCACTTGCTAGCTCTGTGACCTGGTGCTTGAGCTTTCTCAGCCTTGGTTTCCTTCCCTTCTAGAAGGCAGGGATAACAGCACAGAGAGGCCAGACGCTAAGATGGTTGAGGGAGAGCAAGTCTGGAATGGGCTTAGCTCAGTTAGTTAGGCAGCTGGTGCCTCGGAGTCCAAGGCAGGCTGACCTGCACTGGGCAGAGATGGCTACCCGGGCTGACAGGACCTTAATGAGGAAAGCAAAACGAGGCATACATGTTCTGCAGGGAGCAATAAGTCAGCTGCCTTGTGAGGAGAGGCAACATAGACACTGGGAGAGAGGAGGGAGGCTTCTTCAGAGAAGTAACAAGAGAGCCAAACCATAGATAAGATAAGGAGCCAGGCCTGATTGCACAGATTTGTAATCTCAGCTCCCTGGGACAGGAGGCCATGGGAGAACTGAGGGGCCCTCTGACAGGAAACCACATGATGACAGAAGAGGCTGGGAAGGACAGGGTGCATACCAGTGTGGCTGGAAAGGAAGCTACGGGCTGTGGCTGGCAAAGAGAGATGTATTTAATATCTAAGATGGCAGAAGGCTATGGAGTGCCCATCAGCCCTTCCTGCCCACACTGCCTGCAGAGGGAGAGTACAGAGAGATGACTCCAGACGAGAAGACGATGCTGCAGAGGAGAGACCTGAACCTATTTCCTCTAACTCAGGACTGAGAACCTCTGGGTCAGCAACCCACTGGAGGATGGAGACCTTTGGGGCTAACAGACTTCTGCAGATATTTTGGAGAATAAGGGGTTAGAAGAGGAAAAGTCCCAGCCAGGAGCTATGAGACCACAGGGGAGTAAATGGAGCCATGGGAGAGGCCAGCAATGGGCACGGGCCACAGAAAACATACGAGCTGATGAGAGACCTTCAAGCCTGGCTCTCCATAGAGTGCACTTGAGGACTGGACTGGAGCTCCTGGAGGAAGGGAAGAGAAACCTGTGCAGACCTGCTGGCCTCTCTGATGGTCAGCAGAACCCCTGTGAGCTACATACATACAGACAGGTCTCTCGCCAGCTTGTATGCATTTCTGTGGCTCTGTGCCCATTGCTGGGTTCTCCCATGGTACATACAGCCAGTTGATGGGCTAGTCAAATGAGAAAGGAGGAGAAATCAGGAGATGCAGAGTGATGGGCAATGAACACACCCTAGGGGCTCCTCAAACAGGGACTAGGAACCCAGCCCAGTTGGCGAGGTTGGAGAAGGCCACCAGAGGCAGAATGGGAGCAGGGCCCAGAGCACACAGGCCTGCCAAAGGGTTCTGATTGCCCAATTAATAAAACAGGTGTACGAACAACACCTGTGGTGGCTGAGGCGTAGGTAATTTGCAGTTTGGTTCACGTATCTTTGATTTTAAAGCCTCAGCCTTCCACAGGCTAAATATGAAGGCCTGCCTTACTCAGGGTATCTGAGGGCGAAGGAGTGTTTTATTTTCCCGACTCTCCCACAAAGAGTGGGCATTTCCACAGCAAACGTTAACCTCATTAGTGTGTATTGTTTCCCCAGGATTTCCAGGCTGATATAAAACCTGTGTTTGGGTGTCAGGTTGAGATGTGGCGGGTTCCGGCTGCAGAGGACAGCAGTCATGGCACAATGGCTCCCTTGGCCGAAGAGCTCATGCTGCCGACTGCTGAGCCATAGAACACCTGGACTAGAAAGGCAGCACAGACACCTGTCACTGAACCCACTCTCCCTTCAGGGGTGCCCACCCTACAACGTGCCCACAGCTGCCCTAGGTACCACCTTCTCTCAGTCTGAGCTGCATGGAGCTGGCCCCTTCTCTCCGAGTTAGAAGTATGATAACTGCAAAAAGTCTGTTATTACAGGGTCATACCTATCTGCCAGTTACCCATGAAGGAAGCAGCCAGCTGGCCAGAAGCTGGGGGAGAGGGGCATCCATACCACACTACCTGTGTTTCCTCAAGCCATATCTGGAGAGGCCAACTATGTGCCAGTGCCCCATGTTCAGCTTGAGTGACAAACCATAATCATCATCAGTCCCTTAATGGAACCCTTTGCTGATTTTCACCAACAGACTAAGGAGATCACAGGTTTCCGTCTTCCGGCAGAGCAGAGCAGGGCAGAGCAGGGCATTACATTACTCACTAGGTAGAACTGTAATCTCTGCCACTGCCACTTAGCCCAAAAGCTCAAAAGACTCTCTAGAGATTTTAAAGCCGCATTAACTACCATGTCCAGCTTACAAACTTGGAAGGGCAAGATAATGGGGTCAAGGGGCACACTTAAGGGGCTGAAATTCCAACCCATGTCTGTGTGCCTCCAAACCCACCATAAGAAATGCTGAGCTAAATACTGTTACAGAAAAATCTAATATGGGTCTCACAATTCCTAAGAACTTGCCGTAGTCCTGAGAGGATCAGTAGAGTATCCCACAAAGCCCATGGGCTCAAGTCGGCTATGAAGGACAGACAACTTATAACAACATGGTGACTGTCTGTCAAGGAATCTCACAACTCCCCAGCATGCTTGGCATCCTCTCTTCTGCAGTTCTGTGGACAGAACCAGAGCTAGACTGATCAGGAGACCTTGAGAAGCTCAGCTGTCATGTGATCGGACTGCAGAACCAACCTGGACTCCTCCTCTTTGCAGAAACGGGTAAGCTGTCACATGTTAGGTTATACTGGCTTCTAGAATGTACACATAATACCACCCACCTCATACCCTTTGGTGATTCAGTCAATGAGAAAACCCTCAGTGGCAGCTGCTAGATTCTTAGTTTCAACTCTGCCACCCCTGGATAAGACCTGTAATCTGAGGTTCGGTGTCCTTGAAACAAGGTCTTCCTGCTGCCACTAACCCCTGAAACAGGCTGCTCGCCCTCTGACCAGGC